AAAAACATTATGGTCTCTTAAAGGAAGAATATGCGATTTTTCACACTTAAATCTAGCAGATATCAAGTATATCCTCTGAAAATAACTTTGTGAGCCATGAGTGTCTACAATGAGTGTGACACTCCAGTCCCGCTGTCTGTGATGCTTTCCGAGCCCTATCTACACCGTGTTTACATGGACGGGACGGCCGGCCGGCTCATCCCTTTGCGTTTAAAAGTTGTTTAATTGAGGGACATACTGTACTCACTGCTTATGTGAATGTCACCTAAGTGTTAGATCACGGTCATTTCGTGTAAATTTACATGCTGGTGCTCAAGGGCAACATTTACTGCATCAAGTACTCTCATATTCTCCCTTTAACATAAAAAATGGATCTCTGTAGTCATCATTTCTGTAAAATCTCAGAGGTATCTGATAATTATCTGAACCTGTCACAAGAAAGACAAACTCAGGCACACTTGTCTTCAGAGATTGGGTTAGAAATATTACAGCTTATTCCATTGCCATTAACTGAAGCTATCCACCAGTGTGCTGTTGGTAATTTATACCTCTGAAGATGTTAAAGAGAGTCAGGGTTATCAAATAGTGGAATTCCCCTTTAATTCTTCTGCAGTAGTAAACTTGTAGTAATTTAGCTGTTGAAATTCCCTGCAATATACTCTACCAAATCTCCCTCCAAGTTAAGCCTGTCTGACAGTGCCGCCTGCCTTTGAAGAGAGACATCATCCATGATGCTCCAAATTTATTTGACATGTGGTGGCTAACCATTGAGCTCTAAGCTGCACAGTTGCACGGTTAGTGTGAGCCTCGTGTTTTTTCTGTGTCTGGCTAACCATGCTGCTTTAGCTCTTATTAGCAAATGATGCTAATTTCTCACTCGGGGGAGAATAGATGGACAAAGGAGATTTGATATGAAAGAAAGTGAGAGAGGAGTGCTATGACAAGGCATGGGTTTCCAGATTTGAAGGTGTTGTGTGGAAAGACATGACACCCTTGAATGACTTCTGTGTTCCCGGGGATGTCACACGAACAGCAGTAGCTAAAAGCGGAACGTAGCTTTCTATGTTTAGGTCGGGAACTTCAGGCTTGTCTATCTGTGAAATGCTTGTTGCGTCGGATGTGTTGGATGTCAGCACAGATCGAGTTCACATCAACGGAGAAGAGTCTTCTTTGGACTGGCACTAATGTTAGTTGCCCAGCTAGCATGAAGCTTACGTGCCTGGCAGCCTCTCATCTGTAGCATCTCCAGCTAAAGTCAGTAGTTCGCCAAATAATCACATCACTTCCTGTCTCTAATCCTATCATTAAACCCACCTGATTTCCCTCTACATGTATTAAGTCTTTTGCCTCTGTCGGTGATTAGGGACAGCTTGATATCCTGTGTTGATTTTAAAGAGGTTAAAGGTTGAGGACCAGAGCTCTCTAAGGTGACAGCGCTCCTTGCTTGACGGCTCTCAGGGTCAAACTCGAGAGCAAGTTCGGGCAGCACGGGGGGGTGTGTGTGTGTGTGTGTGTGTGTGTGTGTGTGTGTGTGTGTGTGTGTGTGTGTGTGTGTGTGTGTGTGTGTGTGTGTGGTGTGTGTGTGTGTGTGTGTGTGTGTGTGTGTGTGTGTGTGTGTGTGTGTGTGCGGCGCAGGGGAGCGGAAGAAAATGGAAGATGGTAATGAAGGAGCTAATTGCTTCCAGTGGATTTTGAAATCGAACCCCAGCCCCCTGTGCCTGGGCCTGGCTGAGCGCAAATGGAATATTGATGACTATGGAGAAAATAAGAGAAAGTGACCCTGCGATATGATCGATTTAAAAGCCACAGCTCTGTGCAGAACATGTCTCAACAGGCAATACATTTCCCCTGGTTTTTATGGATCCATATACATTTACCACCGGTTTAATACTGCTGAGGTGCACAAATATTACATTATATCAATTTGCTCTCTCTATTATTCATGGAAACAATGTTGCACTGATAGTCTTTCTCGCTTCACAGCTACTTTTTAATTACACCATTATAATTAAAACACATTTGGAGGGTAAAACAGACCATATACTGGTAGCCTTTCACTTCAGCATTAGTGTGTCAAAGTGTAAACTGATAATGGCACATTTTAATGTGGGTCTTCTGTCTCCTGTCTTAGACTCGGATACAGCTCTTTTTTAAACTTGTAAAAGCTACAATTATTACAGGGGAAAAAAACAATGTTCTTGCTATACTTACAGTAATGTACAGTTACAGCTGTAATATGGAAAAAGTTGAACTTTGTGCTCGATCCAAACATTAACACTAACAATTAAAATGCAAGTATACTGATGTTCAGCATGAATTTAAATTGGCTTTGTTCATCTAGTAGTGGGTGTAAGGTCAGCATTATTCACCTTTTACTTTCCCTTAAAAAACATCCAGCTCATAATTATAGGAATGTTTTTACTTTTGCACATATTTCAACTTAAAGTACAGCATATCAAATGTTTACTTGATGAAAGTCTTCAATGAAAAGCTAAGGAGCTACCATACTTGTCAAAACTCATGTAAAAGGAAGACATGAATGGTGGCTTTAGGGTACAATTGTTGGCAGGTAGGAGCCATGGCAGTCTGTGAAAAAGAAAAAATGAAAAATCACTTCAGTTCATTGTGGCATCAAATGGATGGCAGTGACATTCCTAGAGATGTGCTATTGGTTACATGATATAAAAAAAGGATCTAAAACAACCTTTGTTTCACAGGTGAATAGATCAACGCCCCTTAACTCTGCCTTCTTGTTGTTTTTCATCCAGGACTGAATCAAACACTAATGGTAACATTTAGTCAATAGGCCCTTTGATAATAAGCTAATTGAATTTAGTTTTAGGAACAGGAGTATACCAGATCATGTCTTCTCTAGGCAAGTTTAAATAGCAGGAAATGAATAAACCAAAATCCGCCTTGCAAGGACAACTGTCTCTCTACTCCTACATGCCTCTCATTTCCCTTTAGCCATATGCCAAGGCCCCTCCAGGCGAAATGTGACAGCAGCCCACCAGTGTCAGTGGTGCATTGGAAATTTCCACTGATCATGCTTATAGCGCCAACTGTTTCAAGGACTCTCTCATAATCGGGGACCCTAGAGGCTTGTGGCCTATACTCGTCCAGATGTACAGTAAAGCCAATTGGAGCAAGGAGCTAGAGACCTGTTCTATTATCGACACTGATGGCAAAGTAACCACACAGTTGACATTTAAATTAATATTTGATGATATATCTGAAAGGATTTTTGACTGGGTGACTCCGATATGCTACGAAAGGAGTTGCCCAAGCTGTACGGAAGTCAAACACTGTTTTTCTTCACGACTTACAGCCCTAATATTTTAGTAAATATGTCCTAACATTTTTCTATAGCAGCCATATTATACATGTAATTAATCTACTGGCTTTTTATGCAGTTTTCTAGATACGATGCATGAAATCATTTTCAATAGAGCTGTTTTTTAAATTCTTTGTATATTCTGCTGCTGCTTCAGTTTTAATAATGGCTTTCTATTTATTCCCCTGGCCCCTAGATGAGGGCTTTCACAAGGTCTTTGCTGCCTCACATGCCATTTCCTCTTGTCTCAGTGCCTTGCAAAGACACAAGTTTTACGCCGAGGGGGGAAAATTTCTCCATGACCGGAATCAGCCCTCTGTCATCGCCCTAGCTTCCCTCCCCCTTTTCCTTTTGTTTCTCTTTCAATATTCTTCTTCTTTTTTTTTTTTTTCCAGTTCCACCTTTTGTATCTTTCTGCCTGATCCACACCGCTGCTCCCTCATGTTTACATATAGCCTGATCCACAACACAGCAGAACAAACTGACGCTTCACAGCCTGCAGCTCGATTGCCTCCTCTCCTTTCCCTCTTTCCCTCCTCATCACTCTCTTCTGTCTTCCCGCTTGTGCTTTTTTATTCTCTCCTCGGCCCTCGTGACTTCTCTGCGAACTCACAAAAGAAAATGTAAGAGGCAGAGGATATGAAATGACACATTGAAAACGGTATTGTTGGCAGGTAATGACATAGTTACTGTTACCAAGTGTGACGGGGTTGTTAGGTTTGGTATGTTGGAAGGTCTTTTTCTGAAGGTTGCAATTTCTAAAGAGGTGCTGCCTTGAACACTGTGTTCTCGGAGGAGGAATCTTCTAGCCTGACCCTTTAGTCCATGCGGCTGTGTCCAACTTAACACCCTGTGTAAATAATTGACAGTGAGTCTGACCTTGTCTCTAACAGATTAACACCCAGACTAAGAGAGGAGTTTTTAGAACCACAACGTTTAAGACACAGCAGGAAGAGTGATGTAAAGGAAACCCTACTCTTTCTTTCTTTCAAAGTCTTCTTTTTCCGTCTGCCCAGCAAATATTTATTTATATTTATTTTTGCTCTCTCACTCTTTCCATCCATCTTCAACCTCCCCTCACTTTCTGTAGGGAGCTGTCTCACCTTACCCTCTGTGTCGATCTAAAGAACGGGTCCAGGAAGTCACTTTGCAACACCAGAGTGATATAAAACTGTAAAATCAGGCTTTGTTTGATTTATGCGTGCCATTAGTGGGGAATAGTGTTCCATCGTGAGTAGTCTGTCTGTCTAGAGGCTGTATGGGAAACCTAAACCCACGGCCATACAGATAGGATTTTATGATCTGAACTGAATGATGGGATTATCATAGCTGTAATTATGGCGAGCAGTGCATTCTCAGAGTGTGTGTGTGTGTGTGTTTGCTGAAAATAAGCGTCTCTTCAGCGTACAGTGGTTCTCGTATTTACTGAGGCGGCTTCATGATTGATGCAGGATCCAACACGGATGCTGGGCTTGTTTCATGTATTAAACATTGGCGAATATGTGCAGGGAGAATGTGATAATGACTGAGGGGCTGCAGTTGTTGTTTTGCACAGAACTCATGAGGCTAAACAACACATGGTGACTCATAACAAGCCCGAGTGTCACTTTCCGTCTCCTGCTGTAATTAAAAGTAACATTTCCTTCGGTCTTTCTTGTCATTTCAGCGAGGGAGGAAAATGTGGCCACGTTCCGCGGCTCGGAGTACTTCTGCTACGACCTCTCACAGAACCCCATCCAGAGCAGCAGCGACGAGATCACGCTGTCCTTCAAGACGTGGCAACGCAACGGCCTCCTCCTGCACACGGGGAAGTCGGCCGACTACGTCAACCTGGCGCTCAAAGATGGGGCCGTCTCCCTCGTCATCAATCTGGGCTCCGGGGCTTTCGAGGCCATCGTGGAGCCGGTCAACGGGAAATTCAATGACAACGCCTGGCACGACATTAAAGTGACACGCAACCTGAGACAGGTAATCGGAGGGGTTGCAGTGATGGTCGGAGTTTTTCCAGACACGAGTAGTTTTCTTTCCGCTTTTAGATTAGCTGCTTCCACAAGCTTTGAGAGAGAGCGGGCTTTATACGAATGTCACCTTGTTCTGATTGGTTGTCATTCCATCGCCACAGTTAAGAAACATTATTAAGACTGATGTCATTATACTTTAAGTTCTCTTTACTATTACATTCCTTTTAAGTTTACTCATCGTTACATTTCTTTTGAACACTTTGAATACAAGATCTTATGCATGCTATTGGTAGAATAGTCGAGCTAGCTTTCTGCTAGGTATTTTCCTCTCCTGTTTATTGGCCTGTTTCCCTATATGAAAGTTGTGCTTTGATTCTACTTCTCTTCACGATTCCCTAAGACGACACTTCTATCAGGCGCTGTCGCTATCTTCTTGCTGTGTTTTTTTTTTTTTTTTTCGCTTGTGGGGAAATAAATAAAAAAATCTCACTTTAAAGACAGGCACAGAGTGTTTGCCTTTGAGCCATCCATTAATGCAGTATTTATAGCTCAGATCATCGTGATGCTTTTTAAAGCTAAAAAATACGTTCGCATCAAAGACGTGCGTCTGTTGTGCATAAGCAGAATTTGTTGCTTGACAGATATTGTTTAGTGTTTCTTAATGTGATCTAAGAGCTTGTGTTGCTGTTGAGTGGAGCGCAGATGACTCAGAGCTATGGATAGAAAGCTGGAGAAAGAGGGAAGCTTAATGATGAGAGGAAGGGGTGTTTGGAGTTAGTGCGAGCGGGAAAGTACGGAGGTGTTCATTGTCTCGGTCGACCTTTTAGTTTGTCTGAAAGGTGAGGCAGCAGTTAGTGTTGCTCTCGGCGCAGCACAACAAGTAAGTGCCTGTTTTCCTGACCCTCCCTGACAGTAAGCTTTGGCCTCCCAGGTTAGTGAGGAGTTGTAGCAGAAAAAAATCCCCAACAGGATAACGCACAGTTTAGGGGGTTAGAAAGCTAAGAGGTGAGGGCTGCTTGCCCACCTTCTTCTGTCTCTCTTTCTTTTGACGGATCTGTCTTTCTTTCTGTCACTCTCATTTTCTGTCCTCTTTCAAAGGCTCACTTTGTTAGGCAAGGGGTGAAAAAAAAAACACTACAAGTTTTGTCGGGGCTCACGCCATCCTACACAAATTTTTGTCTGAGAAAGTCCCACGTCTTACAGTACTTGTCTTTGTGTTTTTCTTGCAGGACTCTGGTGTAGAAAATTTGGCTAGGATGGCACGATGGCATTTTATTACTGCTGCGAATCTCTTACAATTCATGTAGTGTTTTTTCACCGCAACACTAACTCATCCATGGTTAAAAGTCATTTTTTTATTACTAACCAATATCTAACCAACTAATGTACTAACTAACATCCTAATTCTTCATCGTTGCTTTTGTTTTTTTTTTTTGTTTTTTTTCTGTCCATCCTTATTAACAACCTTTTTTGTTCACTATTCTTTTGATTTCCTTTCTTCCCCTTTTTCTGGAAAGCAATCAGGCATTGGACACGCTATGGTAAACAAACTACATTGTCTGGTAGATATCATTCTTATTGTCTTTTTTTTGGGTTTGCCGTGTGTCCCCTCCCCCTCTCTTCTTTTATTCGTTCTCTTTGAGTTCCATCCTAGACACTCTTATCAAAAAATGAGGAGATGGGTTTGTATTACCAGGCAATTCTTTCTTCGCTTCTTCTCAATTTCCTCCCTGACCTGCCAACAACCTCCTTCTTTACCCCACAATATCCCATCCTCTTTTTTTCACTTTGGCTTTTACTTTTTTACCCTTTCTTTCTTCCACATTATTGCAGATTTCCAACAAGTAAACCAAAATTGAATTCTTTGCCTTTGTCAGGGCAACTGACTTTTTTTTTTATTTTAATTTTTTTTTTCACACAAAAAGTCCCCATTTTTTGTGAGGACTGTCGTCCAGAACTGACAGAAGCTTGCCACAATCCCAAAGGTGGTGACCTCGACACCGAGCCCTTAAAGAGAAACTACCAAATAAGTGGCAACCCTTAACCTTCATTGCGGGAGCTCTGACAGTTGTTTCCAACTCACTATGGCGCATGGCATGCCCACACCTCATCGACCTCTCACCTCCCCAACTCATCGAACCTCCACCTTGTCACCCAAAATAACCACTAACACTCTAATTCACTCACCCACATCCCACCTGTCACCTTTTCACTCACTCTGCCCTCCCTGTGTGTGTTTTTGTAGCATGCTTGTGAAAGTGTTGTTTGTGTGTTCTGGCTACCCTTACCCCTGGGCCCATAAACATAACATTTCTAAGAATAAAGCATACTGATCTAGGATTAACGGTGTGGTCCAGTGACATTGAAATTAAAACCATGACACCTGAGCTAAACCTGATCAGAGATCAACATCAGCTATTCTGAGAGTGTGTATGAATATGGGCTCTGGTCTTGATTGTGCATGAGCCTCTGCACCCTGTGTGGCCTGCTCCAGCTTCGTATGGCACCATTGATCCACTTACTCCCTTACACGTCCAATTAAGTGTGTTTATTTTGCCTTCGAACAGTGATGACCTTTGTTTGCACATTGATGTGGTGTGTAGAGCCTCCCTTTGTTTTGCATGTGCGTGGATATATAAATGTAAATAGATGCAAGAGAGGGGCGAATGTGGGACTGTTGGTGTGAGAGTGAATGTATGTCAGAGTGTAGGCGTGCGTAAGCCCGTCTATGTGTGAGTGTGTGCTCACATACTGTACATATGTACTGTATACGTGTGTGTCTGCAGTTACCAGAAAAATCCCGAAACCTAAGACAAGTGCAGGCAATTTGTCCTTGGTTTGAACATTGTACTAACCCTCCCCCAACCTGAATTTTCCAAACCAAACCTAATATCCATTCTTTACCCCCATCAAAGATAAAGAAAATATGCCTCTACCATATTTTCTTTACCTGTCCTGTGAATCCTACGGCAAAAAAAAAAATCCATTAACGAAATCCAACAAAAACACTGTCTGGTCCAAACAATCGCTACAAGGTACCAAATGATTCTGATGAGCAACTTCAGAGCGGAACCTGAAGAAAAGTTTTTAAAAAAAAAGCTCATTTCAAATGCAGACCAAGGAAGGAGGTGTGTTTTAGACACAGCACGCAATCGAATCCCAGAGTGTAATGGCTTGGCTTTGGCTATGTGTTGCCCCTCAACAGGTCACCATCTCCGTTGATGGGATCCTCACCACCACTGGCTACACCCAGGAAGACTACACCATGCTGGGCTCTGATGATTTCTTCTATGTGGGTGGGAGCCCCAGCACCGCGGACCTGCCCGGCTCTCCAGTTAGCAACAATTTCATGGGCTGCCTCAGAGAGGTAGGACAAACTCCAATGAATACAGAAAGAACACAGGAGCATGATTATTTTATAATGTGGGGTTGTCATTCCCAATTTCCTTTCTGCTTTTGCATTAAACAGGGGTCGACATCAAGTCACATTTGTCACTGGTCCTGCGGGGGAATATGGGCTGTGATAGAGCTGTGATTGTTTGTGTGATCACCTTTCTCTCCGTCTTTCCTCTTCAGCCTCTTAAAAGTCCTCTTCACCGCTCTTTACAGATTTTCACCTTAGGTGCTCTCTACCAGGATCTAGTCTTTAATCATAGGAGGAACTCTAAGAAAACTTCATGATTCTAAGAATTTTCTGAGAATGTTGTGACTAATAACAACTCTTTGTACTAAGGAACCTTTGTGAATATGACCCCTGATCTTCTCTATGGCTTACTTGTCTGCATGCAGAAAGGTTCTAGCCAACAGCAGTCTGCCTATGTGGCTGGAACTTTTCTCACATCTGCTTTAATAATCTCTCGACTCTTCCAGTGATTTTTTTTCTTTAATTGTTGATTTTAACCCCACTTTGGGTTTGGAATCGGAGGTTTTAAAAAGCATATCCCCAGACTAGTTTTTATGAGAGACGACCTGCGCTGCAATCATTGTCAATCCGAGTGCAGTGAGGACGCTGGCAAGAGTCACAGCAGTGAAGCTGTCGACTGCCTTTCAACTGTGACACATGTGAGCAGCAGATATTAGTGAGCTGATCTAAAAAAAAAAATCACTGACAAAACCCCAGTATCACAGGAAAGCACTGTGATAAAGAGAATGTGTGACAGGTTTTTTTTTTTTTTTAAGTCTTTATTTGAACTGGCCCAATCCAGCCAGTGGAACGTTTAATCAGGCTGGACTGGACTCTGTCAGTCATGCATCCGGGCCAGATGTCGAGCTCTGAATCAAAGTTTTTAAAACAGTGCAGCTGGACGAAACCAGCACACTTTCCCTGAAAGGAAGGGGAAGCAGTAGAAAATGAAATTGCATTATCAATTAAAAGCTGCTGAGTTGGCAGAGGAAGTATCAGACTTTCAATATTCCCTGGCTTAATGTAATTCATAACACTTACTGCAGTTTGTGTGTGAGGAAATATCCCCAAAATTGCTTCTGTCACATGTAATTTGCAGCCTCAGCTTGAGTGTGCTGCTAAAACGCCTCCCAATGGGCAGCAATCCGAAAGAAATATTTGCCTATGATGAAACACGAAAAAAAGTGTTGTTGTTTTGGGACATTTGTAATGTATTTTCTGGCTCTTTGAGCTCGTGAGACTGGCCGAGAAATTTATTAAGTGCCTCGTTATTTACATTTTGCTCACCATTACTTATTCTGCAGCAGGTAATAACAGTTAAGGGGGGACTGGTGGCTCATTGGAACTGTAAAGAAAAACTCCTCATCGATTTCTGCAGTTCAGCAGCAGTCCTAGAAATAGCTTTACATCTTCAACGGATGTTAAGTTGAGACTGTAGTGTTTGGCGTTGCTTTGATACTCTCTATATCAGTCATTTTATCCTAGCCATTTGCCTTTTGTACCTTTCTGCTCTCAGAAGTTTGTTTTTAGCACAGTTACAGCGTTAAAAGAAATCAGTTTCTAGGAAATTAACTTGTCTAGGACAATTTAAATTGCTGTCACTTAGTTGGTAAAATAATTGGCCATCATGATTTTACAATCTGAAACGTATCTCCTTTATGTTCAGGATGTAAAAATCTGAGCACTAGCATTGCAGGCCCTGAATATAAATATCAGTAAACTGCAGACATTGTTACCTTAAATAAGTGAGTCTGAACTGTATCTGAGAAACACAGCTAATAACTAATTCTGGGCTACCACCAGGGGCGTGTCCAGACTTTTTTGACAGGGGGGGGGGGCCCAACTGGGGCACTGACTTGTGCTTTATAACCTCACCAATAATATCTACTTTAAAACACAAGATAATGGTCACATTAGCTCATTTTTTTAATGACACAAAAAGAAGATTTATATTCGAAGTAGTACTTCAAAAGGTGCATGAAAACTGCTGCATAGTCAAACTTGCGATGTTTGGACCCGACACATTGCAAGTAAGACGGATGGCATTTCTCTGGCATGCACCTATTTTATGAAAAGAATGTGAAAAGTTTGAAATTCACAATTGAAAGTAAAAACAAAAGAAAATGCGACATTGATATGTTTCCAGGGGGCCCATGCCACACCTGGCCATCCTTCTGGACACGCCCCTGTCTACAAAGGATGCTCTGCAAAGCAGCGTTTAACTATAGACGGATCATATTAAAAAGTGAAATTTAACACTGTTATATTGACCTGATCCTCCAAGCTCTGATCCTGTGACATTTCAGGCATGGATCAGATATCAACCATTGAAACGCCTTTTATCTCATTAATCGATTCTTGCTTTAAACACCTTCAATCAGCAAAAGTTAACTGGAGTGTACTGTCAACTGCTTTAGATTAGACTGAAAACAATGTGTTTGTGACAGTCATGGTTTATGAAAGTCAAATTGGATATAACAAACTGCAGTCAGGTGTAAAGGATTATAACCATGTATTTTCAAGAGGTAATACAGCTTATGACTTTACAACAGGAAGAAAAAGGGACAGTTAGTGTAAAGTAGTTGTTATTTAATAACCAACAATTTACTCTTTGGATTTTTGACTTAAGCTAATGAGAAATAAGATTTTTCTCGTGAACTTTGATGTAGAACACCTGTTCTGTAATTTACTGTGACACTCGGGGACAGAAGTATGAAAAAATGTTCTCGGGGTGTGAATCGAAGGGTGACTCAAGATACAATACAAGGTAGGATACGTGATACAGTGTTTCCCCTACCAATATATTTTGGGAGCGGCCCGCCCCCCCTGAAGGTCAAGTAAAAAAAAATTAAAAATTAAAAAGATTTATTTTTGGGCTTTTTTTTTGTGCCTTTATTATAGGGATAGGATAGTGGATAGAGTTGGAAATCAGGGAAAGAAGTGATTTAAGGATACCTTTCCGATAGAAAAGGACAGCCGTCATTAAAAGTAACCCATGAACACCAAGATTCCTTCAAGTGTTTGTGTCGTCGTGTCGCCGTGTCGGCATGTCAGTTTGTCCCCACCCCCCCCCCTAACGCTGTAAACCTAGGGGAAACACTGCGATATGTAGTCAACGATGAAAATACCATCAAGATCAATTCTGTAATAGTTGATACATCGAGATGAGAAAGCCTTAAACAGGTAAACTTCAGGATGAATGTATTCACAACACAAGTTCAGATAGCAAAAGCCAAAACAACATTTATGAATTGATAGCTCTCCTAAAGCTTGAGTGATGGGTTAGAAATCTGCTCGATCAAAATGCATCCTTTAAAGCTGCTTTTTGGGCTCACATTGTTATTTCAAGATGTTAGAGTCAGAGTGTATGTAAAGGCCTTGTTTACTTGATGCCACAAGTTGACATCATCCTACTTAACTGAGTAAAAAGGAGAAACACAGCATAATAAAATGCGTTGGATTCACTTACCAGTGCATGCAGAAAGTGCTTTCTGTAATTAGTTGGCTTAGCATAAATAACATTCAGAAGGTTACAGGAGAACATGTGTATTTACATGCCAATTTGACTCCCTTCATAATCTTTTAAGTTTATTATAGTGACATTTCTACCCAGCCATGTTTCAATCTATCCCTTCACCACCCTCTCATCCCGCTTGTTTGTCCCTTCCATCACCACCTTCTCAATTTTGACAAGAGCCAGTAAGCCCAGTGATGTGCTGCCAAACTCTTGTCGAGCACCTCCCAGCATGCCTTTCGTTTAGCCAAGTAAGCCTCCATCAGACTGCTATACACTCCCTTCATCTGTGTTTTTTTTAGGCTGCACACATGTTTGGCTACTAGCTAAGAGAAAGTCACCTTGTGTGTGATGTTTCATGTTGCCGCTGAGATGCTCGCACTGCTGTTTTTGCTGCTGTTATCACACAGGATAATGCATCCCCCCGGTCCATCCTCAAACTGCTGAGACTCTTCATCTTTCCCCTGTCTCTCTCACAAACACAAATACATTGCATTTGTTCCTAAAACTGCCGCCTCTACTTCTTATCTGTAGTTTTATGAGCAAGTAACATCAGACTCAGACTGGCTCTGTTGATTATTAACTCTGAGTCTGTGGTTCCCAGTGTACAATTCAGCCTACAAAGAGACAAAATAACAACAGAAAGAGAGATAGAAGCCTGTCAAAGCAACGATAGAAACATATTCTACTTGTCGGTACGATCAAAGAATTATAGATGAATCAATATATTAATGACACATTTGGTGAACAGAAAAAGAACATCTTCCACCTTGTGAGAAAATAGACTTTTTCAGGGTGTGTGTTTTTTTTTTTTCAAGCTTTTGGGTATTTTATGTTTGTGCTGTTGCAACATTGTTGTTTTGCAGTTGTTGACAGCAGTGGTAGTCAGTCCAGCACAAAGCATGAAAGATAAATGAGCACTCAGGTCTGCAAAGCAAGCAGCTTGCAAGCCGTATACAGTCTTATATACTCTCTACTCTACACCTTTGCAGCATAAGAGAAATTCAGGTTTTAGCATGCGTAACTAAAGCATCATCAGCGGGGAAAAATCCTAGATCCACCATGTTTAGGTGAGACATTTCTGTTGCTGGAGACTTTTTTAAAGCTTGTAGTTGACTCAATTTTGGTTTAATAAATGATTATGAATATGTTATCATAGTCAAAGTACTGTGCTTGTTTGGTCTAATTCTCTGTATTTGAATTCCCTGCTGCTGGTCTAATACATACTGTTTTGACCGATAATGCACCAGCTGTTCTATACATTGATGCACATAATGATGCAGTGCATTCACACAAAAGTGTTGAACCAATCCTCAAATGTGCTTCCTCATGCATCCTCCAGTTTAGGCAGATATGACATTTCCAGTGGAGTCATATTGGAGTAGATCTTGGTTGCATAATAACTCAAAATATGCTTACTTAAAGAGGACATATTATACCCCTACTAGAC